ACACTTTATAATTATTTTCGAACAATTTCCCTATGCTGAGCAAATTACTCTTCATGCGTGGTATGTGTAATATATTGGAAATTACTGACCTTTTTCCATCTTTCCTCATAATCATAACATCACCAATACCTTCAGCTTCTAGGGTATTATCATTTACTAATTCCACCATGTTCTTCATCGAGGGTTTTATGTTGACAAATCAATCATTCCTTCCAAACATGTGTGATGGGAATTTTAAGTTCAAGTACCATTGATCCTTGAATCTTTCTTCATATCTTGTTATGACCATCAACAACACATCTTCTTCTTCATGCTTTTCCAGCTTTGTATCACTATCTTTGTTCTTTTTTTTCTTCCAAAACAATCACTAGAGTGGAGACCATACTTTTGACAATTAAAACACTAAATGTGAATTTTTTCAGGTTTTATTCCACCACCTTTTCCTTTACCAACAACACCACCTTTGTGGTTACTTTGTTATGAGGGTTTTCTCTAGTTCGACGCATTTCCTTCTTGCTGATTTCTTCCATTCAAATTTGTGTAGCCTCATATACCTTTGTTTTTAAACCACTTCCCTTTACTTTTCTTTTCTCTTGTTGATTGTGCCTACAGAGCCACATCACTCTTCGAATTTCTTGCAGCTTTTTCAACCATTATTTGTTCATGAGATTCAAGCATCCCCAAGATCTTTGCGACAAATGATCTTGATGTCACTGCTTCTTTACATATCTTGATTTGATTCACTTGTAACCCTAGTGAAGAAATCAGCCATGCTTTCACTTTCTTCCATCTGAAGCAATCCATACGTTCTTTTGTGAGTTTGTAACCTCACATCTTTCACCTTCTCAGCGGCTCCAAATTTTTTTTTCTCGATTTCCCATGATTCTTTCGCTGATTCTACATCACCGACCTTTTCAAATTTATTTGGTTGAAGGCATTGGTGGATCATAAAGAGAGTTTTGTAATCTTTCTTCTTCAACTCTTTGTGTGCAGCCTTTTCTTCATCTGTCATGTTTTTGGCAAGCGGTTTCACTCATTCCTTCATAAGATCCTAAAGATCTTGATACTAAAAAGATAACATTTATCTGCTTGCACCAATTCACGTAATTATGATTCTTTATAATTGGGAGAGTCACCAAAAATGCTCATTCAGATGATTCATTGCATTATGCTTCCCAATAATCATGCAACCAGTGCTCTAAATACCAGATGTTGGAATCACACTAAACCTGTGGAGAATTTTTGAATCGATCATGATGAACAAGATGATTCCGCTGCACCATCGATAATGAGAGAAGAAAGAAAATATTAATTTGGGGGAGAAAGGAAGATTAGTGTTTTAGAGAAAAGTGGTAGAAGAAGAATTGTGAAAACTACAGAGAAACTTCTGCTTTTTATTTCTATGTAACTGCATTCCCTTTTCACAAATTACAATAATATGGTTTTCCCTTATTTATAGGCTGAGGTTGCTTACACACCAAGCAAATCCTAACTAACTCAGCTATAACAAACAAATAAATCTAAGTCTTAAGTTCTGTTGAATGTACACTTCTTCGAAATTTCGACAACTAAGTTTTTCGACAACTCCTTGCTCCTTTCAAGTAACATGCTTTGACACAAGGAATTGCATTCTCAAGAATTTGAAGGTTATGAGTACTCAATTGGAGAATCAGTTTAAGCTCTCATTCGATTAGTGTCCAAAGATAGATTTAGAAGTTTTGTATATGGTAAAGGTTTGTTATGCCAGCGATGTTGGTTGTTTAATGTATGTTATAGTCTGCACTAGACCATATTTGTTACAAGTTGCAACTCAAGTTTGTAAGTTTATGTCTAAATCAGGAAATCCTCATATGGAAACAACCAAATGGATTTTTCAGGTACTTAAAGAGTATAATAGGTCATGGTATTATATTTTGCAGTGAACAGTGTGACCCTTCGGTTGTGGATATGTTGACTTAGACTATACTGGTGATATGAATGATAAAAGGTCTATAACAGAGTATGTATTAACTTTAGTACGAGGACATATTTGTTGAAATCACCAGTTCAACCTGTAGTAGCCATGTCTACAGCTGAAGCATAGTACATGGCAGCAGGTGAAGCTACCAAAGAAGCATTATGTCTTACAATGTTAGGGAAAGAATTGGGAGTTAAAAAAGGTAGAGTTTGGTTGCATTGCGATAATTAAAGTGTCGTTTATTTGGCAACCAATCAGGTGTATCATGCTTAGACCAAACATATTGATTTAAGGTTTCATAAGATCAAATAGTTACTTATATCTGGATAATATATTACTTGAAAAGGTTCATACTTCATAGAATGCAACTAATATACTGACAAAGCCAGTCATCAGTGACAAGTCCAAATATTGTTTAAAATTGTTACATGTTTCTTAGTGTTAAGCAGAAGATGTGCCTCCCTAGTTGTCATATGTAGTCGTGATGCAGGAAGTCTTCATAGAGTTTTAATATTCGCCAAGGTGAAGATTGTAAAGTATGACTCATATTAAGATAAAGAGAAACACAATATATGAAAATTCCGAACGGGTGTTAGGCCTAACTATTTGTTATGGGTAAGTAATTGGGTGCCTAACCAGTAGCCCTACAAAATAGTTCAGGGGTATTATTATATACTAAGACATTGTATCACATATATTTCTTATAACATTTTAGCCTTAATTATTAGACAGAAATTAAGATAACTATAGTTGATCTATAATGGCAGAGGTAGATACCATTGACCAAACTACATTAATAAAAATCGATCTTATTTATTATCTTTTACTTTCGATTCTAACAATAACAAAGATTAAATGAAATGTACCTTTACCTAGAGAATTGATGCATACATTTGATTATATTTTACCACATAGATATATTTCCATATGTTTAAAAATATAATAATATAACAAAAAAACTTATATTTTTTAAATTAAAAAAAATAAATTCAAACTACAATTAACTATAGATCTATAGATAAGATGATTTATATCTTAAATTTAGTATTTTATATTACTTGAAAATTGAAATCATTTGATCTGGATCTAAGTTATTAACATTGTGAGTAGGAGAATTCAAGGTCTTGTGAAGTGCATGTGATATAATTTCCAAATTGTTCATGATATAAATGATATCTTTTTGTTAACTTATGAGCTGTGAACATGAATAGAAAAAATAACAAACTTTGCACTAGTTTCCAACACTTGAAAACTATGAATGTTTAGGTGGAATAAATGCATCCATATTTACTACAAAAAGTTGAACATCATAGTAACTCCTATTTGCCAAAATGAGTTTTGTGATAGCATGGACCAAGCTGTCAATTTAATATTTTTCTACTTATATTTGTTTTAGGAGTTGGGGTTGGTACTCAATCCAAGACTCAAGAATTCAATGGTCCTCATACACATCATTCTCTTCCAACACTTGTGTACTCTCAATGACTTTCGTTGAACTTTAGTTATATTTGGCTCAACCTATTCTTTTTTCTTCTCACTTTTTCTATTCACAAATATGGATGTACCCTAAAAGGACCAACAAACAAATGTAATTAGAGACTTAAACTCTTTCTAATTTTTATTTTTTTTAGTAAACAACTCTCTTTATATTTAAATGTTCTTTTGTAAGAAAACTAGTAGACAATATTTATTTTTTTGTTATAATATGGTTAGTAGAAACCCATTCAAAGATGCTTTGTTTTCCACTAGAAATTTATATACAAATTTAAGAGAATTTATTAATACTACTATTAAATATAGACATTTTGATTTTAGTTAAACTATGAGATCAAAGAATTAAAAAAATATATAAATAAACAACTTTAAAAACAATAAAAATAGTATTATATTTTAATTTTAAAAAAAAAAAATCTAAAATACTACTATAAAATATAGATATTTTAATTTTCGTCAAATTATTTATGTATATATATAATTAATTTCTCCATTCATTATTATAAATAAATTTTATTTTTTTATTTATTAAATACTTAGTGTTTTTTTATATAAATCAGATACATGAAATATTTACACAATAAATTTAAATTTACTTTTGTTTGATAATTGTGATTAGGAAAAGTATGCTTGTACACCATTCAAATAAAAAGATTAAAAAATCAATTATAACAGAACAAAGAAGCAATGTTCTGTTTTTTTAGTTCAATATTTTATGGACCCACAGACAAACATTAAAATAAAACACTAAATTCTACAATGGAATATTATACTAGGATTGAAAAGAGAATATCTTTTTAATTTCTATATGATTATTTTATTATTAAAATAATTATTATACATGGTGTGCATGTCCATGGCCAAAGAAAAATCTTAACATGATGTCCTCCCATAATCATATGAAGACATAAACCATAGAATGAAAAGTTGATTAAATTGCTTCTAAAATAAAAAGAGGTGGAAGATCATTAAGAAGTTGATTAAAATAATAAGATTTCTATGTTCCAACCAACCAAAATTTCAAAAAAAAGTAATTAATTTAAAAGCGTGTAATTTAGGCCTTGTGGACATGTAGCCCACCCTCATGGCATATCAAAACCAAGGAGTCTTTGTCCTTTTTTTTATTTATAAAAATCGGATTTGTGCGTAACTATAAAGACTAAATTTTTTAGTTAAATATAACTATAATTATAATAAAATTATATTTTAAAAAAATTTATCATTATTGCGTGTTTAAAATTAAAATCAATCTTAACTTCTGTTAAGCTGTTAACAGAAAAAGATATCTCTTTCTAAATCTCGTCCAAATTACTTTAAATTTCTGTTTAAAATTTTATATTTTGATTAAAATTGAAATTCTTTTATATATATATATATATATATATATATATATATATATATATATATATATATATATATATATATATATATATATATATATATATATATATATATATATATATATATATATATATATATATATAAAGAAGCCTAAGGTGACAGGTTTTCTTTTGAGCATTAACTTAGTTACATACATTGATTGAAAAACATGGAAACATCAAACCAAATTGAAGTTCATCAAACTCAATCATCATCATCTTCATCTTCTTCAATAGATAGTAACAATTACAATTACCCTTCTGCAATCTCAAGCATCTGCAAAACAACAGATTTAAGCACCGATCTCAAACTCGGTCTTAGCATCTCTCCATCTTCTCAATCTCAATTACCATTCAATTCAACAACAACATCATCAAAGTAACCTTTCTCAACCTTAATCTTTGTTCTTTTCAATAGATTTTTTGTTACTTAGTTTTATTATTATAACAAGTTAATGTTGTGTTTTAGGGAAGAAACATTGGATTGGCCACCAATTAATAAATCCATATTGAGAAGAAACACTTTGGTTGAGAAACAAAACCTTAGTATCATTCAGAGACAAAGATCTTTGTTTGTTAAGGTTTATATGGAAGGAATCCCTATTGGAAGAAAACTAAATCTCTTGGAACATCATAGTTATGATGAACTTGTTAAAGCTCTTTGTCATATGTTTAGAACAATCATTCTATGTAAGCATTCAAATTAGTCCTCTTCATTTTTTTAAACCTTACCACCTTATGTGTAATAATTTCTTATCAAAATTGTTCTTTTTTTCAGGTCCTAATTCGCAACCACTTAGTTCTTGGAATTTTCATGTTCTAACATACGAAGATCAAGAAGGTGACTGGATGATGGTCGGAGATGTTCCTTGGGAGTAAGCTGTTTTTTTTTCATTCAAAGTTTATAACATTTAATCAGACATTCTGCGAACCAACCACTCGCGCTAGATTCGTGTGAAACATAAAAACATTACAATGACATAAATTTTTTTCATGATTTTGACAAATTATCCAATGAATGCAGGATGTTTTTGTCAAGTGTGAAGAGGCTGAAGATCACAAGAGCTGATAGCTGCTAGTTAATTACTTAATTTATGAATGCATATAATCTCTTAAGCAACATGCTTCTTCTCAATTTTCATTGTTGATAATTTTTTGTTCTAATTGTTAATTAGAGTGGTTGAAATTGGTAGCTTCAATGATTATTATCATATATGATTCCAAAAACATAGATGTATAGCTTCTCACCTAGTTATCAATTTAGTGAATAGCTCTAGCTAGCTACAAAGTTAATTAATTTAATTAATCTCTATGCTTAATTTAATTATTAGATCTTCAATTGATGAATGAGTATTGTTATTAGTTTTGGTTGTTTGTCTTAATAGTGAAACATTGAAAAGCATAGCAACAAATTTTGATAATTAAGTTCTTTAGGTGTGCCTTTTTCTGCTGTCTTTACTTTGATGTGTTTGGCTTTGTTGGGTACAAAACAACATAATGGTTATGGACACCACACACCTCGTGTCAACAACAGTGGTTTTGCTTTCATTAGTGTAACCTTTTTTCCTTTTTGTAACTTTGATTGTTTTTTGAGGAACTAAAATTTTTAAACATTTATAAGTTAGTTTAGATGAGCAACATTATGGAGCTAGACATAGACTACTCATATTAAGGGGGCCACATCACCTTACATGCACACCTCTTAAGTCAACTTGTTCTACAATCTTCCTCTGTCAGTTAGAATGAACAAGAATATACTTTGTCATTAATTTACATAAGCCATTGTGATTTCATTTGGTAAGATTTAATCATATATGTAATGAACATTAGTCTAAATATGTTTGTATTTGGCATGCATTGTTAGATTAAAGACTAGTACTTTGGCATTCTCCATTTATCACACCATAGAGTTGGTTTTTTAGGTGATGGTAAATTTAATTCACCTAGACAAGAACAAACCCAAGCTACCTCAAGTGATAGGAAAGCTAGAGCTCGATATTCTAATTTTGTGTTGGATCTAGATATTAATGATTCCTTAAGGAATACACACTGCCGTGCCATAGATTTCATGTCGTCTACATTTGTGTGCAATTGGTATCTGAGAGCCTTATATCTTTAGATTAGTAGATGGCTTTATATGTAGGTAAAAGTTGATTGCACATTGAAGATATCTTAGCATTTTTTTATCTATTGAAATTGATCGGCGGTAGGGGAATTTTTTTCACGCGGAAACTAGAGTTGATCAGTCAACGATGGTTTTGGATATGCGGTGGATTCGAGTTTATGGTACAATGGAGGAGGGACTGATCTGCAAAGTTACTTGATAAATAGTGTACTCTCCCCTTATATAATAAGGTAGTTATACTGGTATTGACGCAAGATGAAGGGATCTGACCTATTGATCTTTGGTTGAGATTATTTGCTTCCTTGCCCAGGAGAGTGCACCTATATTTGCTTGACTCGGTGTCTTGTTTTATCTTTTGGGTTGTAGTTATTGGGCCCTCTAAGCAGCCTAAAATAGTTGCCCTCAAGCCTTTGCCATTGCTCAGAAGGGTGAGGGCTTTATCGTGTTTTCCTTCTTGTGTCTTTCATTGTCCGATTGAAGTGAAAAATCACAATATGACGTTATTGTCATGGAGAACTTGCGCCTTAAATGTGCTTCGTACTATAGACATCTTTTCACCTGCTTCATCATGATGACCTTTGAGGAGTAGAGTTCTTGAGTATCTTTCTGAGGAGATTTGAACCGTTGGAAGTGCTTACCTCCTTCCATCTTGTAAGATATTGCACGATCTTTGGGAATGGTTATAAGGCTTCCTTGATCATTAATTTTGTTACTTTTGTCATTTGCATTCTTTGCGACATACTATCTTCTTGGCTACTGGAGGTGTTATCCATCATGCGTCGAAAAGTAATGAAAGACACTTTAGATATTTTATAAATCCTAAAATTTCAACAACCATTTCTATTTTTGCTCGTGAAAGTAACCTCGAAAGTGCTTTCCTTGAAGTGGGTCCATCATCTGACTATGGTGTACTGGTCCTATAGAAGGACAAAAAGATATTCAACGAATATGGTGGGTGTGTCATCCCTTACGAGTGCATATTTTCAATTTTGGGACTCCAATTGTCTTTCAACAATTTCGAAGTTGAAGTTCTAAATCGTTTGATGATTGCTCATTTGCAGTTGAATCCAGTGAGTTAGGCTTTCATCAAAGTCTTCTAATACTGAGGTGGCTACTAGGGAAGAAATCCATCTTTATCACTCATCTTCCACCTTTTCAAGGTACAACGTAGTGCCATGGATCATCCGCATGGTCAAGGTTTAATTACATTGACACAGGTTACCCATTACTTCAAATTTTATCCTGATGGCGTGAAACACTTCAAAGACTAGTTCTTTTTAGTCACTCCTCTCAACGAAGAGGCTCATGCAAATATCAGTGTCATAGAGATTGAAGCAGAATACCGATGTACGAGTTTATTTTGAAATTTCTAGAGACAAGGCCCACTTTTTGACGGGGAACAGGTCATGTGTTCACTGTAACACCCTAATTTTCCCCGCGTAATTTATAAATAAAAATCAGAGTAAAAATCAAACAATTAGGATGCTACGTTCAACTCCAACCAGCTCATGCAATAAGATATGTAACACATGGAATTTAAAATTAATAAGAATCATAAAGCGAGTCTAAACTTCAACATTTTATTAGCAGTAAAAAAACACTAACCAACTGATTAGTTTAACTATTCAAAACATAATCATAACATAATGTAATTAAGAATAATTATCAGACATAAGAGATTCCTATAGCAATCTCCACCAAACATGAAATAAAGAAACCAAGCATTCTCCCCACCCCTTCCTCTGTGTTACATATCAAAGTAGATGTCGATTTAACAAAAGCAATAACAAGAGTAATCTCTTCCATTCATATCTACGCCTCTACTACGGATTATCTGCACGATGCCCGTGTAAAGGAAACATTCAAACATAAGGGGTGAGAAATCACAATCATATAATGAAACTGCATAATAATATTTAAACATACATAGTCATCCAATCCCCAATTTTCCACACTCCACACAATCCAATAATAATAATACAATATGTATGCAATACAATGAGGCTCCACTCCATGACTCAATGCATGTGGTACCAAATGTAAACTCTCAGGTTCACTCACTCTCAATCCCCACCATAGTATCAAATCACACCAAAAATTGTTACCATCACCATAGGTAACGCTTCATCGATTTCCACCTAGAACCATCTACTCACACCCAATCCCCACCATAAGATTGAGGCTCGCCAAAAGCGGACCACCATCAAAACACCATGAGGCATGATTCATAAATGACATGCAACAACAAAAATATATACAGTGATATTCGCTTTAACCAATATACCACACTAAAACTGGTCACCAAACACCAAACATATACTACAAGCATTCAACATTAGCATTATAGTAACATAGCAGGCAACAACATATCATTCACACACATTACAATAACACAACATGTACACCATATATCATATAACACTATCACATAATATTTAAAAAAATTCCAGGTACTGAAACTATTTTTTAAATTAAAGTGCATTGCGTCAGCTTTCTAACGCTTCGAACTGAACCTCAAACGGACACCTAAAACTCAGGTTATGATTATTTAAGTTTGACACATCAGGCGTAATCGGCTACACCAAAACAGGTAACCGGTTACAACTTGATCAAAAACAGTGAGAAAACTCTTTCATTGGTTACACTAAAATTGATAACCGGTTAAACCCCCTAAAATGCCCAGATTACGCTTTTTAATGACATTGTAACCGGTTACACCAAAACCTGTAACCGATTACACCCTTACAAAAACTAATTTTTCTACAATCTGAGTTACGAAAATCAGTTTTGAGATATCTCAAAAACCCCAATTTTTCATGGAAAGTCATATACTCAAGTTTCATGTTCCAGTTCCCAGCAACATACAACATCTCAATTATTCATTCATTCATAATTCTTCCAAACACACATCATAGCAGCACTATCTTTCATATCAAATAATTCACAGCATAAAAGAGAAAAAATGCAGACACAAAGAAATTAAAACGTTCACCCACATGTTATCATGTAATCCCTTATACAAGAGAAATTTTCACCCTTACCTTAGATGAAGAATTCCCAAGCTTTTCTAATGGAAGTACTTCTTCTCCCATGTCCTAGCTCTCCCTTCTCTTCCTCTTTCTTTTTCATGTTCTGACAGTTTTGTTCCACTTTCCCCCTTTCCCCTTATTTCATTATATTATTTCTAATTTAAAGTTTTATTCCAACTAAATAAAATAAATATTATTCCCACTAAATTAATTCTAACCCAAATATTTATTTCATTATGTCACTATAACCATAATAATTAAAATAATTATTTAATGATTATTATTACTATTATTTATTCATTTTTGCTCACACACTTCTAACACCTCAAATTTTAATCTCTAAGACTACCACCCTACACCTAAGGGTTCCTCTAGCACACCAAATCGGAAACCAATGCATACAATCATACAATTTATTTATGAAAATTAATTAAATAAATCAGGGTGTTACAACTCTCCCCCACTTAGAATATTTTCGTCCTTGAAAATTTGCCTAATGCGAACAACTCCATATATGACTCTCGCATCCCACTCTCCAATTTCCATGTCACGTTCCCTCTTGTAACGCCTCCTCAAACTACCTTCACGAGAGCAAACTCTTTACCCCTGCAACTGTTTCAACTCACGGTCTTCGATCCTCACAGGTAAAGCTTTAATTGTAAGGTTATCCCTTACTTGCACATCATCCATCGGAATCACATGAGACGGATCTGGAATATACTTCCGAAGTTGTGAGACATTGAATACATCATGAAAATTCGAAAGATTAGGGGGCAACGCCACCCTATAAGTAACCACTCCAATCCTCTCAGAAATATGATACGATCCGATAAACCGAGGAGTAAGCTTTCTCCATTTCAAAGCAGGTTCAACACCGATCACTGAAGTGACTCTCAAGAAAACATGGTCTCCTTCTTGAAACTCA